TCTCAAATAAACGGGATATTTCGGTGCTATAATTAGGGAGAATGACAGGTAATTCTGTAAAGAAGATGAAACCCCTCCCCTCTCTGGAAAAGCGCTTTATGCTAATATTGACAACACTAAATGCAGTAGTACTACTAGTTTGTGTGGCCAGGCGTAAATCCAGTGTCATCCACGACTAATTTGCTCGTCGGGGTTTTTATGCAAGATATTTTGTCGACTCATTTGGTCCACTCGGGTTGGAATATGTCAAGGATAATGGCTTCGTAAGAAGAGCTACACAACTCCCTCGTAGCTCATTCAAGGGCATGAACGATGAGAAATCGTAACTTTAGAGTACTTTGAACACGGACAACTTCACAAGGAAGTTCTTATATAGGTGAATGAGGAAGTTCATTTTCTTTCTCCGTGTTTGGGAACGTATACTCCTTTTTTGAGATCGTATAGTCCTTTTTTGGTTTTCATATAGCCCTATGTTCTCAACCTTGCGAAATGGGTCGTCAAAAGGTGGTGTGTTTCAGTTCTCCTCCTAGGTCAGGTCACCTCGGATTAGAACACCATTGATAAGCTCGTAACAAGTCGAAGCCTAGGCCTAACTATAAGCCAAACCTTAGGCTTGACGTAAGTAACTAAGTCAGGGTGTAAGCACAATGCCAAGCCTGAGCCTAAACCTAGGCCTGACTTGAGACTTCAGTGATCGCGCTGCTCATGTGACCTGACCTAGGAGGAGATCTGAATGTATCCCTCGGAAGGGTGAGCCCACACTTGAGGCTTCCTCGGTAGGAGGTCATAACTGGTCGGTGTGGTGGTGGTGGATTGGGGTGCGGAGTCAGGTGCAATTGGAATTTTGCTTTCTCAAAAGGAGTAGGTATTTTTTTGGAAAGATTTGCCGGATCTTTGAAAACGTCCTGTAAACTCGCTAGAATACTCTTTCCCGCCTTTCTGGGATGGAATAAGGGCCTGGAAATATAGATGAATTACGTGACCTCAACTGGGCAACTTTAATTTGACGCAAACTTCGCAGATGCGTGGCTCCGGTAGTCGAGGCTCCTACCCGAGTAACCATCGGCTTATCCGACACCAATCGGCTAGGTTATAACTTCAGCTGGGCAGAAGTAGCACTGAACGATTCAAAATGGTATTCTGACTTTGTGACCCGAAAAGACCCAGCGAGGAAAGGTTCCCGGTAAAATGCGAACAACTGGCCTTTCAGGGTTTCCTTGTGTTCCACTCGTTCGGTGGCGGTACTGGCTCTGGATTCACATCACTTCTTATGGAAAGACTCTCGGTTGACTACGGAAAGAAGGCAAAACTAGAATTTTCTGTTTATCCAGCTCCACAGGTACTATTTTTTTCCACTCTTCTGGGTAAATGAACTCCTGAAAGAATTCGGTGATATTCAGGTGTCGACAGCCGTTGTCGAGCCGTACAACTCGATCCTTACCACGCATACCACCCTTGTATATTCGGACTGTTCGTTCGACAACGAGGCTATCTACGACATTTGCCGACGAAATCTTGACATCGAACGACCCAGCTACACCAACTTGAACCGACTCATTGGTTGGTAGCTCACTGATTTCGGGGAACTGGGCAAAAGGCGAAACCTCTCGGTCTTCTTTCCAGGCATCCCTACCGAGGAGACGCCAATCCCCTGCTTGATTTTATCTGTGCTGGGGGATAGCTTATTAGCGACCAGCTACTCAGTTTCTAGACTCCGACTTCAGGAGGGTTGCGGGCATTAGCAGAGAGAGCTGTAAGCTATACGTCACGCTGTTTATTGAACGGGCTAGTGTGACGCAAACCCTGTCCCCTCAAACATCCTCACGGATAGAATGGAGCGGCAGGGGACGCGGCTATGGACGGTAGGACAGGATACGGCCAGAAGAGCGAATAAATGGCAGTTGATTGCTAGAGGAGGGGCAAAAATTACCCAACTATCGACTATTAAAGGAAATTTCTAAAAATTTTCCTAACTTTCCACGAAATAAATGGCGATCCTTCCATGAGTGCAGCTTTTGATATTCAGGTCAAATCGTCTCGTCGATCACCGCTTCTCTACGTTTTGATGGAGCTCTGAATGTGGATCTAACCGAATTCCAGGTGCGGTTCAGTTGAAGGTCCCATTCCCTCCACTTTTTACTTTAGGGTCCCTTTACGACTTTTCGAGTAACTTGCTATTTTTTATTTTATATTATATTGAGTTTGCTATTTTCAGACCAATCTTGTACCGTACCCTCGCATCCATTTCCCGCTTGCAACTTTCTCACCAGTAATTTCTGCTGAAAAGGCTTATCATGAGCAGCTATCAGTCGCCGAAATCACCAACATGTGAGTGTCTATTAGGCACATGTAACTAGGGCAAAATGACAAATTGTCTTGTTTTTTGGGTGGTAGGGGACGACACGTGGAGAAAAGTGGGTCCGGGATTTTGGAATTGCAACACCCTTGTTTCGCGTGAACAGCGGAAGCAGCCACATCCAAGAAGTTTCTGCCGTTTCAGCTCTCGATGTAGCACCGGTACAAAAAGGCCATTGCGTCCCTATTTTCTCTGCCCTTCAAGGACTTAGCAGCAAAAATGAAAAAAGGAAAGCTCCCAAGTAAAATAGACGTTCTAAAAATTTTTAGAAATATAGCAGTGTTCTCAATGAGCTGGTCAGAATTTGCCGCGCGAAGGCTTACGCACTACCAGGGTCAACCCTGGCGTTGGCGGTACTATTGTGCAAGCTTTCGCGAGCTCCCCTCCCTCTTCCATCCTTTTAAATTTGTTCCGAGACCGACCCCTCCCCAGCCTAAAGGGCTTCTCGTACTAACCACCCCCTACCATAACCACCATGGCTTCGGAAGACAATCCCCCTCAAACGAGACTCTCAAAATAAATCTAAACACTTCCAGCTTCATCCATTCCATTTTCTCTTTTTTGAAGATTTTGAAAAGTTGATCAAAAATTGTGAATGAAGATCCCCTTCCCCGCAGGTAGAACCCTTCAACTTCCACAGAGTTGATCCACATTTCCTTTTTCAAAAGATAATTAACTTTGATAAGCCGCAAATGCGGACACTCCTTCAAAATCGCGCTACCTCGGCGTGGTATATGGACACGCTTCAGTTTGGTTTTCTAGGATTCTGCCTAAACCACTGAATCTTTTAGTTCGCCACAGGAATGTCATAGCTGCTGCGATGGCATCAGCCCAGGTGGGCAAGTGCTGAGTCTGTTAGCGACTTCTCTTTTGAAATGTCAAAGTCGGGAGTTCCGTTGTTTCTTCTTTCTTAATGTTGGCTATACCCCCGCGCCGTCACAGGGGTCGGTGTTTTTGTTAGCCGTTGCCCCTTCCTTTTATCCAAAGACGTCTTCTACTGCTACCCCAGGCGAATTTCTTCTTGATCGCAAGCCTCCACTTCTCTTTGGGGCTTTTCACTTGCCCTGAGGTTCCGGTGCTTTTCTTATCCGGTGATGCAGTAACTCTTAGCACTTACCCGTTCCTCGTAGTCGTTCGCTCTGCCTATATCTGTGCAAGGACATCACAAAACTAGCCGCGATTGATGTAAGTGTTACATGCGTGGTAGTATGTTGAACAAAAAGAGGGTGGTTTTTTTATAGATAAAATAAGCAGTATAGATCAATCGAATTACTAAACAGTATAGATCAACCAAATTACATATGTATAAGTGGGCTTGTTCAGGTGCTTTCGAACCGCATAACCAGATGGTGAAATGCGATCCACGACATGGCAAATACATGGCTGTGTGTCTGCTGTTCCGTGGTGACGTGGTACCCAAAGACGTCAGTCACGCCGCCATTGCCACCATCAAGACGAAACGTTCGATTCAGTTCGTCGACTGGTGTCCAACTGGTTTCAAGGTACTGTAATGCCTTCGATCCCTTTAACTTTTGGAATCATGGCTGAAATATGAATAGAAAAAGTATGAGAAATATGAGGTTATGTGAAAAAAAAAAATGGAATGTGAAGGAACTCTGTTATTAGTAGTCAGCCGAAGCCGACTAGAACGCAGTGCGGCCGCGCGCGTGTCATAGATCTGCTATCTCGTACATGGCTGTCATGGCTCAGTCTGTGCATGACATTGTCATATGAAACTTGCTATACAAATGTGATCGTCTCTTATCAAGAATCACTGATAAAAAGGACGAAGAATTCGGCATTGATCAACCCGTTGTAGAACACGCCATGCATTCTATTTCGTTCAGAATCGTGGTGGCATTTTGAGTGCGTTTCAGCCTATAAAATGACCAGCTAATCTACCAGTCAGTGCTTCTATCCCCCTTAGAGCTCTGACATCAATCAACCGACTTCCGGTATGGAAGGTTTGGTTGGCCATGACGACGGTCTAGGATCCGATCCCCGGGTCATTCATGTGATCCGGGGCAACGCCACTTGCTATTACACCACTTTCGACAAAATCAGTGATATTGTAATTTAATCATAGGTATATTTATGTAAAAGAGTACTCAAAGCATAAAGGGTGAATTGAGTGAGGAATGGGCGAGGCGATGAAAAACCTTCGAAACAGTCTTGAGGATCAAGAATATTTCCACGATTTTCTGTATTTTGTTTTTGATTTATTTGACTTTCCTTATTATATTTTGCAGTTGCTGTTTATTTATTTATTCATTCATTTATTTACGTACTCATGAGAGTGCTCTCGTGTAAAAAACACACACGTTTACCATACACATTCAAAACATTTTTTTCTACTTTTTTCTATTGGCTTCTTGGAACTCGACGATCAGAAGAAAAGCTAAATATGAGAGCTAAAACCTATCTGAAGGCTTCTGTTCACCTCGACCTACCGTACTGAATCAATAATTCTGCTTGAAATCCCAATTATGTTTTGTCATGTCACGCTAAGAGCAGATGTTCCAAGGCCGTAATTCATTTATTCTCGTCTTAGGTTGGAATCAATTATCAACCACCGACAGTGGTACCAGGTGGCGATTTGGCGAAGGTACCACGTGCTGTGTGTATGCTGTCGAACACGACGGCGATCGCCGAGGCTTGGGCCAGACTCGATCACAAATTCGATTTGATGTACGCCAAAAGAGCATTCGTGCATTGGTGAGTGGATTCTTTGAGAATCCTTAATTAGTTCATAATTTATTTGGAGCATCGAAGGCGGAGTTTGCGATAAAAAGGCAGCCTACTAAAAGGTCAGAAGAGGTGACAGTGATGCACGGATGAAGAAGAAATCATGAAAAATTAAGGAATGCAGCCTAGAACTCGAAAAATTGACCCCACTTTTGCCCGTTGTCTTCCGCATCGATGGGAGTCTCATCAGTGCTGCCCTCATCAACATCAGTACTACCATATAAAAGAGATCATACAGAACAAAATCAATTATCGATTGAGAAAAGGTAAGAATGGAGATATAGCGGTTTTGGGTGCCCGCCACGCTATTCTATTCTGTCGCAATAGTAGTTACAGTCAATAGATTGCGACTGGCCTACTAATTACCTTCGAGAGTAGTTAGTCAACGTTTTCATCTTACTAGGTTAACCTCGGACGGTTTCCAGACGCTCCAGACCATGGAAGTTACCCCCCACTCGATGTCAAAAATTTGGGCCGACTCCCGAATCATACACTAGGCGCGGCGTATACTCGACCCAAGTCACCGCCACTCGTTCTATAGAACCGTAGCAATGAGCCTCTACTGATAGTAAAAGTCAAAAGAGTCATACCAGAACATAATCATTATCGATTGTTTAATCAAATGTTAGCCTCTCGTATGATCAAGAGCAGCTTTATTGACCTAACTTTGGCAACACTTGCCGGATTCATGTTCGAAGTACTCAAGGAGCTTCCTATAGAGTTAGTAGCGCGCTCCATGAATGATCTTGGTGCTTGGTTAAAGGAATCTTCCACGGACCATGGACCAGTGGGCGGGACCGGAAGTGGTTTTGCGACGAAATGCATGGTAGGTACGGATCCACGTTCATGGGAAGGTTTGAAGTGAATCCTGTTCACGTTCGTGCGTTCGACACGTGGATCCGTACCTACCATGCATTTCGTCACAAAAACTTCCGGTTCCCGCCCACTGGTCCATTGTCCGTGACGACTACCCCAACATCCTAATTTCACCTCTCCACGATACTGTTAGCTAAAGTCATCTTATCTACAAGTCATCTTGCCGAAAGAAATTCTAAGTCAAAAGTCAAATATGCAGAAAACTGATCAAGTCAGGTCCTGGAACTCAAATCTTCAATAAGTTGAAATTCTCTATCGTCAATCTTCAAGAGTATTACGTCAGGAATATGATTACTGCTATCGTAAAATTTCCTATAATTAGATGAGATTAGCTAATACAGAATCATGAAATGGGACATTTTTGTGGCATGAACTCTCTCATCACTTCTGCTAATATTTTTGAATACGGAAATCAACAAAACTTGGAAGCTCTTAGACAATCGGATTGCGGGAAAAGTGTGTTACAGGCTTATGCGCAGGTTTTTCTTGAAAGCCCGTTTTAACCACAAGGAGGCCTTTGAAGACAGCGGTATCTCTGAAACGTCATTTCTAGTAATACTCAACCGGGCCAGTCAACCAACAGGCGCTTAACAACTCCCCAATTAAGTTTTCAATTTTAGATAACTTCCATTCCTATAAAGTTACAGTGAAATTACATAAAATAAATAATCTAATCTATCAAGCCCCTGTTTCCTGCATTTTATTCATATCCTTTATAACACAGAGTCTGATTTCGTGTATCCAAATCCAAAAAACACGAAATAGGATCCTTCGCGACTGCTCGCCCACAAATGCTCTTTTAGTGTCCTTGCTACATTTTTGAAATTTAAACGTGAACCTATAATAATTTAACAGCCCCTGGAACATTGTCAGAACCGCTATAGAACGCGAGAAGTAGCTTGTAGCGCAGATCTAAATTTTGGACCACGGTCTAGGCCTTTGATGACAGCAATTCAGCTTAAAATGAGGACTAGCTAGTAGATGTTCCACCAGTCAACCTCAAGAGGCGCTAAAAACTAAAACAATTAAATTATATTTTTACTTCCAGGTTCCTTCAGTGTGCTTTTCCTAGTTTGATTTTTCTTTTTTTTTCGATCACGAGTCCATTAATCGATTTTCAGGTATGTCGGTGAAGGTATGGAGGAGGGAGAGTTCTCGGAAGCACGTGAAGATCTTGCAGCTTTGGAGAAAGACTACGAAGAGGTCAGTTAGATCGATGAAAAGTGTGACTGTGTCTGAACTGGATCACCAGAGAATCAAGGAGCTGATTTCAGGTCGGCGTCGACTCACTGGAGGACAACGGTGAGGAAGGCGATGAGTACTGATCAACTCCAGCTCACCTATTGAGCTATTATCATTCCGAAGGCTATTTATAACCGGCCTCACCCCCAGAGCTACCCCCGAATCTCCCTTATGTGTGTTCCGAGTCATCTATTTACTGCTTCTGCTGCCTCGCTTTGCTTTTTGTCTTTATAGTAATACATGTTCTTTTGTGACAACGATCGATAAACATTTGTTGGCTTGTCGCACTCTTTTTTGATCTTAAAGACGAAAGAAAATGTTCTATTCGAAAGAAACTTGTGATCATGAAAAGATGTGTTCTAGAAGGCTATGCTGACCTGGAACATAAACAGCATAGGTGGTGTAGTGGTCAGCACTCCTGCCCAGGAGGCGCGAAACGCAGGTTGGAGTTGTGGTGAGGGCAAAGTGTTTCGTCGTCTGTAACACAGCATATTTCACTTATATAGCAATGCAAAGAAAATTTTGATTGGAAAGCCTAAATGTGTAGCGCAGTTCTATGAGCTTACAATTACTTAGAGAAATCTAGCCTTCGATTCAATCCGTAATAGATGCGCCGCGCATTCAGCTTTACCAGTGAAAGTCTCTTTTCGAATCTGTATTGAATTGTGAGGGAAGGCCAGGGCACTATCTACCCTTTTCTTCCTCCACTCTTCGAAAACTGAGGCGGATTCCTAGCGAAATTCGTTCGTGGCTATGGAATCGGGTAGAACATTGCCTTCGGGGGTAGTTGGAATTCGCATAAGAACACGTTTATTAATTCCTTTAATCACGAAAATCGTCTGGCGCCGCGCCACGTGCGCACGCGAAGCTCTCAGAAACACCGAATTGATACCGAATTATTGCTCCAATGCTTGTTTCTAGGGTAGTAGACCCCTAACAACATGACTATCACATCAGCTCAGACTACTCCAGAGCTGTTACTGGTTTAATGTTCCAGAAGCGCTCAAAGGGAAGGTGTACCGAACAGTAAGTCAGGCCTACGATGTCTATGGCAGCGAGTGCTGGCCCCTGAACAAGAATCACGAAGCTGAAAATGAGGATGTTGAATGGCTTGCGCTGACGCTAACTGGACAGGGTTCAGGACTAGGATGTCAAGCGAGTCATGCAGACTGCCCCTGTCCAGCTGAAGGTGAGGGAGCAACGACTGCGGTGGTATGGACATGTGCTGAGAAGACCACAAGGCCACCCGATAAGGAATGCAATGGACTTCGAAGCGCAAGGCAAGCGACCGCGAGGAGCCCCAAAGAAGAGGTGGAAGGACGTGATCAAGAAGGACCTAAGTGAAATCATGGCCACAGCAGAGATGCCCTAGACAGAGCGAAGTGGCGACGACTGATAAAGACAGCGGACCCTGCGACTGCGCGGGACTAACGCTAGGGAGAAGAAGAAACTCAAGTACTTACACTTCGCACAATACAT